ACGGACGAGTACGATTATCAACGCGCCTTTATGAAATAAAGCGTAAAGTACGCCGGCGTGACGTGACTGTTACGTTTATAATAGGTAATCCGTCGTGTTGTGCTCGAGGCAATTGCGCACGCGTTCCTTCTTCTACATACACACACACACACACACATATATTTGTATATATACACATATATCGTATACAATATGGAATATATATCATACGTACATATATATATATATATATATATTTGTATATATATATTTGTATATATATACACATATATTGTATACAATATGGAATATATATCATATATATATATATATATATATATATACAATATATACAATATACAATATATATATCAACCTGTTTTTGTTTATAATGCGTGCTGCAATCTATACTCTATCTTTGTCTCTATTTCTCTCTCTCTCTCACTCTCCCTCACTCTCTCTCTATCTCTACATAATAATAACCGTATTACTCGATGTTATTTCGTGTGGTAGTATCTAAATATTAAGTGCACGCTGTGACTTTGATTATACCATGATCCCCGTATAATGTTCGATCGTAGCCGGCTTAGGAATTACACATCCTGTCGGTTTAGACGTTGTATAGAAGAGACTATAGGAAAGGAGAGAGAGAGAGAGAGAGAGAGAGAGAGAGAGAGAGAGAGAGAGAGAGAGAAAGATAAAGAAACGAAGATCGTAAATAACGATCCCTTCCTCCCTCCCCATCTCTCTTTCTCTCTCTCTCTCTCTCTCTTTCTCACTCTTTCTCATTCTCTCTCTTTCTCTATGTCTCTTTCTAGTTTTTATCGTTTCCATATAAAAAGACGGAGGTTCTTTTTTACGGTTTTATTATTATATTTATAGTTTTAACTATCTCTATCCACATCTATTTAGGTTTCTTTCCTGGCAATAATTAGCTCTTTTGCGAGTAGTATCGACTTGTCGTATATGTAGGTGATATCTGAAAATAAAGGAGAAACGAAACGAGTTCGTGTCCATTCGAATGTAATAAAAAGGAATGAAACTAACGAGTTTTCTCGATTTCTCCGAGATCATTCTTGTAATATAATAATAACAATAATAATAATAATAATAATAATAATAATAATAATAATAATAATAATAATAATAATAATAATAATAATAATAATAAAAAAGGAATTGCAAGTTATCGAGCAAAGAAACAACGGGTTTTAACGTAAAAAGTTTTTTCGCTTTACTTTTACAAATTCTACGTTATAAAAATGTCTCACTGGGTTGGTTAAAATGTTATCATAGGCATGAATTTCGAGAAACAGTGGTCGTGCAACTTCCCTATGTATAAAAGGCGGCCATACCGAAACTATTTATACTTGTGAAAGATAACGACCGAATGCCAGCCTCGGCGATGATAAATTATAGTTATCTCTTATTTTCATGATAAATGTAACATCATTTTTCTTCCGCACAAATTACTTGTTTATTCTCCTACCATTTATACGCATACACATCCTATATGACACACGAACGATGTTCAAAAAGAGAACGAAAAGAGAGAGAGAGAGAGAGAGAGAGAGAGAGAGAGAGAGAGAGTGAGAGAGAGAAATAAACCTCGGACTTATTTAAAGTTACAACGCCCCCTTTCAATCTCTCAAAACTCTACCGATATTCCCCCTCTACGATTGCAACCCTCTCCCAATCCTCCCCTCCTCTTTCTCCTATTCCTCCGGCATTCTTCCTTCTTTTCCATATCGACCATATAATTCTCCCACCAATCTCGAAAACGTATTTTTGCACGATTTCCACGATTATAATTGAAAGCCAGAGTCGATGGATTTATAAATTATCAGAGAGAGAGAGAGAGAGAGAGAGAGAGAGAGAGAGAGAGAGAGAAATAGAGAGAGAGAGGGGGAGGGAGAGAGAGAGAAGGAGAAACGGGCACCGTCGGTGCGATGAGTTACGTAGAAAACGAAAGAGAGATAGGATATGTAATGTATATTTGCGGGAATAGTTATGGACGTTTCGTTAATCGGTCAACGACTATCCTGCAAATCGAGCGAATAAATAGTTCGGATAAATCGGCTCCAAAAATGCTCACGGCTAACGAATTGATAAGTTCCATTATAGAAAAATAACGGGACGAACGATGAGAGAAAGAAGAATAAGAGAAGAGAGAGAGAGAGAGAGAGGTGGGAGAGACAAAGAGGGAGAGAGAGATTGATTCACTTTCTCTCTCTTTCTCTCTCTCTCTCTCTCATTATAACGAGATCTCTTGTCTAGTATAATAATGTCCAAGGAGAGACAACGACGATATTTATTTCGACTCGTCCTCGATGCACCGCTGTACAAATAGTGAAACGACCGTACACGGCCGATAAACATTTCTTCGTTTATTATTATCATACGACGAGGAACTCTATATATTCTCCTCTACAATATTATATACGGCACAGTATGTCTGCGCAAAAAATAAATATTTGTACGCCGCTGGTATCGGTTTCTCCAAATTATCTCCCCCTTTCTACGGTGCACGAAACGGACGGGAAGGAAAAGGAAAAAAAAAAAAAAAAAAAAAAAAAAGAAAAAAAAATAAAGAACAAAAAATAAAGAGAGAGTGAGAGGGAGAGAGAGAGAGACAGAGAGAGAGAGAGACAGAGAGAGAGAGAGAGAGAGAGAAAAGAAATGACAAAATGAAAAAGAAAAGAAAAGGAAAGGAAAGAAAAACAAAGAAAATCTTTCGTGGGTAACAAACAAAAGGCAACCATGGAATAACTCGTCATTAAATATACATTAAAAATAGAATGTCGAAGGGGTGCGGAGGTGGGGGATAACGAACGTGGAATGTTATAAGAGATGAGAAAAGGAGAAATTTATATATATATATATATATAATATATATATATATATATATATAGAGAGAGAGAGAGAGAGAGAAAGAGAGAGACAAATAAATAAACAGATAAATAAATAGATAAATAAATAGAGAAAATATGGAGAAAATCTTTTCATCGAAAGTCTAAGTCGACGAATTTTAATGAATTAAGAAATTTCCGAAATGCATTAGAAAAAAAGAAGAAAAAGAGGGAAAAAGGGAAAAGAAAATTGAAAAAAAGAAAAGAAAAAAAAAGAAATAGTGGAAAAAACAAGAAGAAAAGAAAAAGAAAGAGAAAAAATTAAAGAAGAAAGAGAGAAAAGAAAGGAAAAGGAAAAGAAAAAAGAAAATGGGGAAAAATAAAAGAGACGAAGGGAAGATAAAGTTGCAATGTGCATTAGTCCTTTGACATAGTCTCCATGGCCATCATATAAAAGATTTTTTTAATCGAGGACACAATACGTTCCTCGTCGAAGATGTAAGTTCAACATAGTACTCGTGGTGATGGTGCATATACTGCTCTCTCACATCACTCACTCTCTCTCTCTCTTTTTATAAAAACGAGACCTGAATATAACCAGGTGCGTTTGGGAACGCTTACATATGTACATACCACAGAGAAAGAGAAAAAGAAAGAGAGAGAAAGATAAATATATATATATAAATATATATATATATATATATATATATATATATATTTACATATATATATATAAGGAGAGAGAGAAAGAGAGAGAGAGAAAAGGAAAGAGGAAGAGAAAAAAAAAGATAGATCATCATTCGTACGTAGAAACGTATACTTACGAATGGAAAATCTACGTCCATAAAATCCCGTACGCGTTCGATCGTAATAAGATTTATAATCGCACGTTCGGAAATGTGAGTTTGTGCAACGACTGTATTAAGCACGGATCACGCCGACTCGTATTATACTGCATTATATGCATGTTACGATAATAATAACGACGATGACGACGACTACGACTACGACTACGACTACGACAACGACAACGACGACGACGACGATGGACGGGCACGACGACGCGACGACCACCACCACCACGGTAATGGATTTCATTATCGCCTGTCTTCTCTCACTCGCACCATCGCCTCTTTCCTCTTCCCATTTCTCTCTCTCTCTCTCTCTCTCTCTCTCTTTTCTCTTTCTCTATCTATCTATCTATCTCTCTCTTGTATACTCTTTACAACGATCTATCTCTCGTTCTCTTCCCAACAAACGTCCCAACCAGGTCACCAGGGACTTCGTGGACAACGTGGCGCCAGTTTGCGAATCTAACGACAGGCAGATGCTTGCTCTCTATCTCTATCTCTCTCTTTCTCTTTCTCTCTGTTTCTCTCTCTTTCTCTCTCTCTCTCTCTCTCTATCTCTCTCTCTTCTCTATCACCCTACCTCTCCACGTACGATTCTAATTACTATCGTTATCGCGTTTGCAACTTTAACCTATTTAATAAGTCGCAATCTCGCTCTCGTTGCATCCTCCTAAGCTCTGGTTTTAAAGAGAGAGAGAGAGAGAGAGAGAGAGAGAGAGAGAGAGAGAGAGAGAGAGAGAGAGAGAGAGAGAGAGAAAGAGAGAGAAAGAGAGAGAGGAAAAAGAAAGAGAGATTGTTCGATCAAGGAATTTCATCTATTAATAGTTTTACTTTAACAGAATTTCTTAATGTCTTTGAATTGAAAATAAAAGGCGCGGTTTTTTTTTTTTTTTTTTTTTTTAATTTTTTTTTTTATTATAAAATAGATTCATGACGGATGGGTATCATCATCGTTACACGTCACAGCCGAAGGTCAAACTTCTTTTAACTATATCGTCGAATGCCGAGCTTCCTACTGCTGTTTGTCATATTACGAAAGAGTTTATAAATATTGAATAAATATTACATTGACGAATATTATTTCTCATCGTTAAACACATGAACGCAATTCCATTTTGATGATATCGCGAACGAACTCGAGAATGCTTCGACGTAAAACACGATTTTCACGATTTTGCCCTCGCGAAAATATACAAGAAAAAAGAGAAATATTTTTAATCGCAAAAAAAAAAAAGAAAAAAGAAAAAAAAAGAAATAAAAAGAAAAGAAAAGAATCGATGAAACGAATGAAAAATCTCGAGTAAACGCATCTTTCTTCTAGATGGTAGCAACAGCACGTACCTAAATGTCTCGAGGGTCAATCTACGTGTGTGTTTATGTAAGTGCATCAACGACAAGACGTAGGTATACGCCTACACACGCGCACACGCATAGAATTTATACGCTAACACGTGTATATAGAGTCGGTCACGCCAACGTTAAAGATGGAGTCTCGCGTTAAATATTTAAAGAGCGCGCAGAGCGCGTCACCCTTTAAACGAAGCTTTAGATTTTCTTGGAAGGACGATACGATTCTACGATTTAACGTGTGATGTAAAAAAAAAAAAAAAGAAAAAAAAAAAAACAGAAAAAAAAAGAAAAAAAACAGAAAAAAAAAGAGAAAGCAAGAAAAAGAAAAGGAAAAAAAGAAAAATAAGAAAAGAAGGGAAGATACGTTTCTCTTCCGGCTAAAAAATTTCATCCTCTTTACGAATACAGACGACGATGTAAATTTTTACCATTCATTCTGTCATACTACTGATTTGCTCGTAAAAGACAACAAAAAGAAGAAAAAAAAAAAAAACAAAAAAAAAAGAAAAAGAAAAGAAAAAAAAAGAAAAGAAAAAAAAGAACGAAATAAAAGAGAATATCGTAAACGAAAAGAATTTGTTCTAATATCTTAGAACAATTATGGAATCGCTTTTTAACATGACGAGTATTTTAATGAATCACTCACAAATACTCTTCTCTGAAAAACATGGATACAATCATTGAAAGTGAAGCGTGTATCTAATACATGTGTATATCTATACATACAATATATAGACACGTATATACACATATATACATACATTGCCTGTAACGTCTGTATATTTATGACGGCGATCGTTTGAAATTATATTTAGAACACAGCCCGCTGACGTATCGTAAGTTAAAAGTTGCTTATTTCGCTAATCTATAGAAACACGCTGCTTCTTCAAATTACATCTCGTTACGATACTATGGGCAACATTTGATCGTAGTTTTTAAATCAATAAATTTAGTCATCGTCATCGTCATCGTCAATGTCATCGTCATCGTCAACGTCATCGTCATCATTATCTTCATCGTCAACGTTATCATCGTCATCGTCGACGGCTTTTCTATCCTCAAAAAAAAAAAAAAAAAAAAAAAAAAAAAAAAAAAAAAAAAAAAAAAGAAAAAAAAAAGAAAAAACTTTCTCCAGATAGATCGTAAATGTAACACAAATATTAATATATTACCAGATTAGAAATATAATAAATTTAAGAAACGTTAAATACCAACACCAACGAAATAATAAATTAATAATATAGTAAGTATAATACATATTTTATATCAATTTAATTGGATTTAAGCAATATTGTTGCATAATTATGATACACATATAGATCTAATAAGAGAGGAATCGATTTCTTATGAAAACGCGAAAGTATATAAGTACGTTCCGCATGAAACGAAAGTGACTTATTCGCATTGGCCTTAAGATATGTTCCGGTTCCATTCCATCGGATAAATATAAAACCGGTTTCGTCGATATTCTAACGATTGTCTATATACGATATATAACTCGAACACTTTTATCTAATCGCCGAAACCACGAGCAATGTCCATAGAATGTTTCTATAAATCCCATTTATTGTCATAACCGGTAAATCTTTAGAGTAGAAGTAACGAAATCGATAAAGTTTTATTTAAGAAGGAAAAAAAAAAAAAAAAAAAGAAATAAAAAAAAATCAATCATTAATTCCTATATCCGAATCAGGCTCGACGTGTTGAAAAAAGAAAAAAAGACTATATCATATAGTCATTTTGAAAAAAGAAGAAGAAAAGCAAAAATACAAAAAAATATATATCCAATTATCTAAAGTAACTAAATTAAGTGCGTGTGACGTGGTAAGAAAAAAAGAAAAAAAAAATGGGGAAAAAGCAAAACAAAACAAAAGAAAAATAACAATAAATCAATAATAAATGAATACTTTTATATCGAGTAACTTGGTGAATGTATGGTATAGGTATACAAATACAAGTAAAATACACGTAAATGTAAGCACGTAAGCGTACACACGTGGTGTACACAGAAGTCGTTGGCGCAAAGAAAAATAATAATAAAGAGTTACGGTGTAGGTTGCATGTGATAAACTACGAGAAACCGTAAAATAAGAAGAATAAGAGATAGAAAGACAAGGTAAAATACTGACGGAACGCGTGTCATCGCTCGGGAGTCTCTTGACGCGTCGTATGTAGGCGGCTCGAAGCGTCAGCCGAAAGCGAAACGACACCGTGCGGCGTAACGCTGATGGAGGCGGAAGCACGAGGAGCAAAGCAGGGCAGAATAGAGCAAAGAGTAGTAGAGTGAGTAGTAGTCATAGTAGTAGTAGTAATAGTAGTAGTAGTAGTAGTAGTAGTAGTAGTAGTGATACTAGTGGTAGAGAAGTTAAAGAGAGAAAAAGAAAGAGAAACAGAGAGAACGAGAGAGAGAGAGAGAGAGAGAGAGAGAGAGAGAGAGAGAGAGAGAGAGAGAGAGAGAGAGAGAGAGAGAA